TAGGAACTGAAGCAGAGTGGAGGAGCACTGCATACCGGAAAGCAGACAGTGATGGAGCACTGCGTACCAGGAAGCAGATGGTGGAGGACCACTGCGTACCGGGAAGCAGACGGTGGAGGAGCACTGCATACCAGGAAGCAGACGGTAGAGGAGCACTGTGTACCGGGAAGCAGACTGTAGTGGAACACTGCTTACCGAGAAGCAGACGGTGGAGGACCACTGTGTACCGGGAAGCAGACGGTGGAGGACCATTGTGTACCGGGAAGCAGACGGTGGAGGACCACTGTGTACCGGGAAGCAGACGGTGGAGGACCACTGCATACGGGGAAGCAGATGGTGGAGGAGCACTATCTACTGGCTAGCTTCCCAAGGCTTGCACAACTTGCTGCTGCTGCCTTTTTTTATTTTTTTAGCTATGGAGCCTGTCCTGGAACTCGCCCTGTAGACCAGGTTGGCCTCAAACTCACAGAGATCCGCCTGCCTCTGCCTCCCGAGTGCTGGGATGAAAGGCGTGCACCACCGCTGCCTGGCTCAACTTGTTTCTTTTACACACCCAGGACAGGGTGGCACTGTCCACAGTGGGCTGGCATTCCCATACCAGTCATTAGTTTTTAGAATAAGGAAGAAAGATGCTTTGCCAGTCTGATGGAGGCGGTCCCTTAGCCGACACCCCGTCTTCCTAGATATAGCTAGTGCTGTGTCCAGCTGTCAGACCCAACATAGGAGACAGCTGCTCTGGCTTCCATGCCTTGATCACCGTCAATCCCTGAAGGAAGTCAGGGCAAGAGCAGAACAGGAACTGGAGGAACATAGCTTACTAGCGTGCTCCCCCATGGCTTACTACAATTCAGGACTACCTGCCCAGGGATGACAGCCCCCCTCCCCCATATCAATCACTGGTCAAAAAAATGCCTCACAGCCCACTGTGATGGAGACAGACCAACCAACCTCAATGGAGGTTACTTTTCCCCTAGTAACTCATCTGTGCCAGGTTGACAAAAACTAACCAGTATACACGTCACCTTCTAATATCAGCTCCTCAGCAAATGACATGGCGAGATGCTCAGGAACAGCCTGCCGGATGCAGGACGCAGTAGGAGCTAAGGGAAAAAACATACAGCTACCTATCCCAGGGAAAAGCTGACAGCAGTTAGTACTTGAATTTTCTTGATGTAAAAGTGAGTAAGGGATAATGTATCCCCTTGACATTTTATGAACAGTTCATAATCATAATAATACCTTACAGCTACTTGATGCTGTGTAGCCAACCATGGAAGGTCCTTGTTGGACTATGGAGTAGGTGAATGTCCACAAAATCTCAGTACCTCACCTCAAAAGGAAATAACAGTTATTCTGGAACCAGATGTGAACATCTGCTCTGGCCCAGGAACAAACTCAGCTTACCCCAAATACCATGTTCCAATGTGGCAACAGTTTCATGAAGTTTTTCTAGCAACAGGACAAAGGAAGATCTAAATCATGACCCTTTTCACGTTGTGGAAACATTGGGTGGTTAGTGACTGCAAAACTGAATGGTGGTGTGGCCTCGTTATCTCGTGACTGGTTGAAATTAGTGGTTTGCTGAGAACACATTGTGAGGTGAGTGGGACATAAGGGTGGGCAAAGAATGGCTCTCAAGGAAACTAAGATCAGCACAGGCAGTGTGGCTTTGCTCTGCAGCGTTTTGCCTCCCTAGCCACCAAGGTCAGTCATCTAGCCGTGGGATTTAGTACGGCTGCAGCCCCTCTCGCCACTTCTGCTCACTATGGAGAAAACCTGACTTCAGACTCAGCTTGGCCACCTCTCCCCAGGCCCCCTTAGGAAGTGTTTGCAGCTTCTGACGTCAGTCAGCTTTGCTGGCAGTTCCTGTTTGCTTGCAGGGTTGTCTAGGGGAATGGCCACTTACTTGGTACATGACCTTTCTTCCTGAGGTCTTGGAGTTAACTGTGGTACTCACACTAGTTTGTTTTAACCCTAGAACTTTACACTAAGAGCTGGCAGGCTTTGTTACAGAATACCTGTATTCGTTGGCTCTTTTGGCTACTGCACAGGCAGTGGGCAGCATGGCCCCAGCTCACCTTACACCTAGCTGCTGAGGTCCCGTTTCTCTGGAGGCATCTCATTGCCTGCCTGAACCATCAGCCATGCTCGGCTATCAGGAACAGATACTGAGTGGCTGCACAGGGCAGAGGTGCAGGGCCTCGAGTGGGAAGGTTCTGAGAGGTGCTTCCAACCCAATGGTGTTTCTACGCAGGCTTCCACAAGACAGAGCAAAGCAAAGAAGCTCCTGCCAACTCAGTCTTCTGGCCCGTCCTAGCAGAGAAACTGCCTGGAATCAAGTGCATGCACACAGACTATGGATGGCTTCTACTGCATTTTACAGTCCCCGCCTTTCTGGTCCACACAGACCAGGGCCACTGCGGGTGGAGCTCCCACAGGGACTCTGAGTTTAAAGTGGCTTCCTGAAAACCTACAGAGTGTCTCTCATCCCACAACACTAAATCCTGATTCTAAACTGAGGGTGGGGAGTGGCCCAGCCCTCAGACACCTGCTAGAATTTCATTCTTAGGCAGCAGAGGAAGGTTCTATGACAACCGCCCCACAGACAAGGTGAAGAGAGGCAAAGATGACCTGGGAGCCCATAGTCCAAAGTAGGGAGGCAGGGGAGCGAGGCTGCTGGCCTCCTTGGCTCTCGTTTACTAAGATTATCCTGGGATGTTATTGTGCATTTGAATTAGTGAGGACCTGGTAACTGAGGGGGCAGTGTAAATTCACACCTCAAAATCCTAGCTACTCCAGCAGAGAGCCAGGGGAGTGGGCTAGCAGGATGCGTGATAGCACACACTGAGTCTGATTCTGGGATCCTGCAAAGTACATCAGTATTGTTTTAACTTTCATGTTACCCATGACTGCAGGTATGTCTGTTTCCCACGTGGGTCAGTGTGGGCAGAGGCCAGAAGAGGGTGCTGGATCCCTTGGAACTAGACTTACAGATAGTAGGTAGCTGCCTATGGGTACTGGGAATTGAACCCAGGTTCTCCAGAGGAACGGCTAGTGTTCTTGACCCGAGTCATCTCTCCAGCCCCCCAAATCAGTGTTTCAAAGGCACTGTGCCCAGGTTCATAGCCCACTTAGCAACGATCAGACTGACATGACCACAATAGGTGGAGAACAAATCTATACCCGAGAAAGTATCTGGGGAACAGCAAGAACCATTCAGTTTCCAAGGACACCACAAACTACCCCGTCTATTCCACTTAGCTCATTGTTTTGTTTTGTTTTTTTAAATAAATTTTATTTATTATGTATAAAGTGCTCTGCCCACATGTATTTCTGCAGGCCAGAAGAGGGCACCAGATCTCATTACAGATGGTTGTGAGCCACCATGTGGATGCTGGGAATTGAACTCAGGACCTTTGGAAGAGCAGGCAGAGCTCTTAACCACAGAGCCATCTCCACAGCCCCCACTTAGCTCATTGTTAAGCAGTTCTTAGGCCCAGCACCTCTGCAGTGGAGACAACTGACCGTTTCCGAGTTGAGACGCCACAGCAGGGTGGCCAGATGTAGCAAATCAAAACACAAGGCTACTCACTAGAGTCCTATGAACACTGAAAACATTTGGTGACTGCATTTTAGACATAAGGAGGACTCTGTTTTAACCTAAGCGAACAGAAGGAAGCCAAGGGATGGTACACACTCAGGTACCAGGCTGTCACGGGGTCATGGCTGGCCCCATCCACACGATTTGTAACCATTCTTCCCATCAACTGCCCTTTCCATGTTAAGTCTGACAGCAAGGAACACTAATGCAAATTTTTTTTTAATGTCTATGTGAGAAATTCAAGACATCTGATGGACCTTTGCAGCTAAAGACACCTCCCACAAAAGGGATTCTTGCTTTCTCTACTTAGAACTGGAATATTCAGCACTGCCTTGCCTGGATCTACAGGCCACAGCCCCAGACAGCAGCCAGAAGTATGGGCATGAACTCAGGGAGAACCACCATGTTCCTCCATATTCACCTACTCTGACTCTACTGGAGGCCCTGGGACCAGGGTGAGTGGGGAAACACTAGTTTCTCATCTCTAGCCGTAGTGACATAGATGCCGCCATCTGGAAAAGGGTAGACAGGATCAGGTTGGCCTTGTGGTCAGTGGTGTGCCTGACAGACAGAACAAAGACTTAGGTTCCAATGCCCAGGATTTTACATGTAAAATTTTACATATACATCCAACAATAGTGTGTGCCTATAACCCTGCTACTGGGGCATGTAGGAAGCAAATAGGTAGACTCCCAAATTCATTGGCCAGCCAATCTTGCAGCAATATGAATACCACAAATGCAAGCATAAACAACAGAATGAGATGGAAGAGAGAAATCTCAGGTGCTGAAGATACAATAGAGGAAATAGATTCATCGGTCAAAGAAAATGTTAAATCCAAGAAATTCTTAACACAAAATATCCAAGAAGTCTGGAAAACCATGAAAAGACCAAACCTAGGGATAATAGGGATAGAAGAAGGAAAAGTCCAATTCAAAGGCAAAGAAAATATATTCAACAAAATCATAGAAGAAAACTTTCCCAACCTCAAGATATGCCTATGAAAATACAAAAAGCTTATAGAACACAAAGTGGACAAAAAAAATGCCCCAATATCATATAACAATCAAAACACACACACAAAAAAACAAACCAGGTGGGCTGGAGAGACGGCTCAGAGGTAAAGAACACTGGCTACTCTTCCAGAGGTCCTGAGTTCAATTCCCAGCAACCACATGGTGGCTCACAACCATCTGTAATAAGATCTGGTGCCCTCTTCTATACTGTAGGTAGGATACATGCAGGAAGAACCCTGTATACATAAAAATAAAAAAAATCTTAAAAAAACAAACAAACAAACCAGAATAAAGGAAAAATATTAAGAGCTGCAGAGAAAAAGGTCAACTAACATATAAAGGCAGACCTATCAGAATTACACCTGACTTCTCAATGGAAACTCTGAAAGCCAGGAGGTTCTATATAGACATTCTGCAGACACTAAGAGACCACGGATGCCATCCCAGCTACTATACCCAGCAAAGCTTTTAATCACCATAGATTGAAAATAAGATATTCCATGCACCGCTGCTCTCTAACGCCAGCGCCGCCTCTCGCTTGCCGAGCTCCAGCCGAAGGAGAAGGGGGGTAAGTGAGGTGCCCATACCATGGCTAGTACAAAGCAGACTGCCCATAAATCCACCAGTGGTAAAGCACCCAGGAAACAACTGGCTACAAAAGCCACTCGCAAGAGTGCGCCCTCTACTGGAGGGGTGAAGAAACCTCATCGTTACAGGCCTGGTACTGTGGCACTCCGGGAAATCAGACGCTATCAGAAATCCACTGAACTTCTGATCCACAAACTCCCCTTCCAGCATCTGGTCCGAGAAATTGCTCAGGACTTCAAAACAGATCTGCGCTTCCAGACTGCAGATATTGGTGCTTTGCAGGAGGCAAGTGAGGCCTATCTGGTTGGCCTTTTTGAAGATACCAACCTGTGTGCTATCCATGCCAAACGGGTAACAATTATGCCAAAAGATATCCAGCTAGCACGCTGCATACGCGGAGAATGTGCTTAAGAGTCCACTATGAGGGGAAACATTTCATTCTCAAAAAATTTTTTTTCTCTTCTTCCTGTTATCGGTAGTTCTGAATGTTAGATATTTTTTTCATGGGGTCAAAAGGTACCTAAGTATATGATTGCGAGCGGAAAAATAGGGGACAGAAATCAGGTCCTGGCAGCTTTTCCATTTTCATTTGTGTGTGAATTTTTAATATAAATGCAAGATGTAAAGCATTAATGCAAGCAAAATGTTTCAGTGAACACATTTCAACAGTTCAACTTTATAAAAATTATAAATAAAGCTGTTAAAATTTTCTGGACAATGCCAGCATTTGGATTTTTTTTAAATAAGTAAATTTCTTATTGACGGCAACTAAATGGTGTTTGTAGCATTTTTATCATACAGTAGATTCCATCATTCACTATACTTTTCTAACTGAGTTGTCCTACATGCAAGTACATGTTTTTAATGTTGTCTGTCTTCTGTGCTGTTCCTGTAAGTTTGCTATTAAAATACATTAAACTATAAAAAAAAGATATTCCATGACAAAACCAGATTTAAACAATACTTATCCACAAATTCAACTCTACAGAAAGTACTAGAAGAAAAACTCAAACCCAAGGAAGTCAACTACATCCACAAAAACACAGGCAATAAATGAGCTCACAGCAACAAATCCTAAAGAAGAGAAATGCACACATAATGCCATAAACAACAAAAAACAAAAATAACATAAGTAGCAATCATTGGTTATTAATATCCCTTAATATAAATGGACTCAATCCACCTATAAAAAACACAGGCTAATAAACTGGGTATGAAAACAGAATCCATCATTCTACAGCATATAAGAAACTTCAACCTCAAAGACAGACATTACCTCAGAGTAACGGGTTGGGAAAAAAATCCAATCAAATGGACCTAAGAAACAAGCTAGTATAGCTATCCTAATATTTAACAAAATAGGCTTCAAACTAAAACTAGTCAAAAGAGATGAAGAAGGTCATTTCATATTAGTCACAGAAAAAAAAAACATCAAGATGAAGTCTCAATTCTGAACATTTATGCCCAAAATAGAAGGGTACCCACATTTGTAAAAGAAACATTACTAAAGTTTAAATCATACATCAATCCCCAAACATTAATAGTGGGAGATATCAACACCTCACTCTCACCACTTCAGGACGGCCAGACAGAAATTTAACGGAGAAAAAAGGGAACTAACAGATGGTATGACTCAAATGGACTTAACAAGTATCTATAAAACATTTCCACACAAACACAAGAAAATACCTTCTCAGCACCTCATGAAGCCTTCTCTGAAACTGACCACATATTCAGTAACAAAGCAAGCCTCAACAGATACAAAAAAAAAAAAAAAAGAATTCAACAGCAACACTAAATCCAGAAAGCCTACAAACACATGGAAATTGAACAATGTTCAACTTGAATCACTACTGGGTCTAGGAAGAAATAAGCAAGACTTCCTAAATTTTAAGAAAATGACCGCACAACATACCAAAATTTATGGGACACAATGAAAGCAGTGCTAAGAGGAAAGTTTATAGCACTAAATGCCTATATAAAAGCTGGAGAAACCACACACTAGCAACTTAACAGCTCTAGAACAAAAAGAAGCAGACTCACCCAAGAGGAGTAGATGGCGGGAAATAATCAAATTGAGGGCTGAAATCAATAAAATAAAAACAAAACAATAGAAAGAATCAATGAGACAAAGAGCTGGTTCTTTGAGAAAAATCAAGTAAATTGGCAAACCTTTATCCAACCTAATCAAAAGGCAGAGAGAGAATATATAATGAAAAGGAAGACATAAAAACAGACACTGAGGAAATCCAGAGAATTATCAGGTCATACTTTAAAAATCTATACCCCAGGGCTGGAGAGATGGCTCAGTGGTTAAGAGCATTGCCTGCTCTTTCAAAGGTCCTGAGTTCAATTCCCAGCAACCACATGGTGGCTCACAACCATCTGTAATGAGGCCTGGTGCCCTCTTCTGGCCTGCAGGGGTACGTGTAGGCAGAACATTGTATACATAATAAATAAATAAATAAATATTTTAAAAAAATTAAAAAAAAATCTATACCCCACAAGATTGAAAGATTTAAAGGAAATGGACGATTTTCTGGATAGGTATCGCATACCAAAATTAAGCCAAGATCAGATAAACAAATAGACATATAACCTATAAGGAAATCATCGAAACAGTCTTCAAAAGCCTCCCAACCAAAAAAAAGCCCAGGGTCAGATCAGGCTGAAGGTGGAGGGAGAGGAAAAAGAAGTGGGAACTGGGATTAATATGTAAAATGAGAAAAGACAGACAAACCCTTAGCCAAACTAACCAGGCAGAGAGAGAATATCTAAATTAACAAAATCAGAAATGAAAAGGGAAACATAACAGACACTAAGGAAAACCAAAGAATCATTAGGTAATACTTCAAAAACCTGTACTCCACAAAATTGGAAAATCTAAAGAAATGGACAATTTTCTGGATAGATAACACATACCAAAATGCAATCAAAATAAACAATTTAAATTAATAGACCTGGAACCCCCAAACAAGAAAAGCAGTCATCGAAAGTCTCCCCCACCGGTCCCCAAAAAACCAGGACCAGATGATTTCAGCGCAGAATTCTATCAGAATTTCAAAGAACTAATATCAATATTCCTCAAACTATTCCACACAATAGAAGCAGAGGAAACATTGCCAAACTCTTTTTATGAGGCTATAGTTACCCTGATATCCAAACTACACAAAGACACAGAAGAAAGAAAATTACAGACAAATCTCACTCATGAACATTGATGCAAAAATAATAAAATAGTGGCAAACCTAATCCAAGAACACATCAGAAAAATCATACACCATGATCAAGTAGGCTTCAGCCCAGAGATGCGGGGATAGTACAACATATGAAAATCTGTCAATGTAACCCATCATATAAGCAAACAGAGAGAAAAAAACCACCACATGATCACCTTATTAGATGCAGAAAAAGCCTTTGACGATGATGAAAGTCTTCATGATGAAGGTCTGGGGAGAGATCAGGGATACAAGGAACATTCCTAAACAAAGGAAAGGCAATTTACAGCAAGCTAACAACCAATACCAAACTAAATGGAGAGAAATTCAAAGCAATTCCTCTATAAACAAGGCTGTCCATTCTCTCCATATCTATTCAATACTCAAAGCTCTAGCTAAAGTAATAAGACAACAAAAGGAGAACAATGGGATGGGATACAAACTGAAAAGGAAGTCAAACTTTCGCTATTTGCTGATGATATGATAGTATATATAAGTGACCCCAAAAATTCTACCAGGGAACTCCTACATCTGATAAACATCTTCAGTAATGTGGCAGGATACAAGATTAACTATAAAAAAAAAATCAGTAGACCTCCTATATACAGATAATAAAGGGACTAAGAAAGATATCAGAAAAACATCACCCTTCACAATAGCCACAAACAACATAAAATACCTTGGGGTGATTCTAACTAAAAAGTGAAAGACCTGTTCAACAAGAACTTTAAGTCTTTAAAGAAAGAAATTGAAGAAGAAATCAGAAAATGAAGAGTTCTTCCATGCTCATGGATCGGTAGGATCAAGATAGTAAAAATGGCAATCTTACCAAAAACAATCTACAGATTCAATGCAATCCCCATCAAAATCCCAGCACAATTCTTCATAGAACTTGAAAGAACAATACTCAACTTCATATGAAAAAACAAAAAAACCCAGGATACCCACAACCACCTTGTACAATAAAGGAACTTCTGGAGGCATCACCATCCCTGAGTTCAAACTCTTTATAGAGCTACAGCTTGGTACTGGCATAAAAACAGACAAGTGAAGCCGGGTGATGGTGGCGCACGCCTTTAATCCCAGCACTCGGGAGGCAGAGGCAGGTGGATCTCTGTGAGTTCGAGACCAGCCTGGTCTACAGAGCTAGTTCCAGGACAGGCTCCAAAGCCACAGAGAAACCCTGTCTCGAAAAACCAAAAAAAAAAAAAAAACAAAAAAAAAAAAAAACAGACAAGTGAATCAATGGAAAAGAGTCAAAGACACTGATATTAACCCACACACCCATGACCACCTGATTTTTGACGAAGACACTAAAAATATCAAATGGAAAAAAAGAAAGCATATTCAACAAATGGTGCTGGTATAACTGGATGTCACCATGTAAAAGAATGAAAATAGACCCATATCTATTGCCATGCATAAAACTCAAGTCCAAATGGATCAAAGACCTCAACATAAATCCAACCACACTGAACCTCATAGAAAAGAAAGTGGGAAGTACACTTGAATGCATTGGCACAGGAGACCACTTCCTAAATATAACACCAGTAGAACAGACACTGAGAGTAACAATTAATAAATGGGACCTTTTGAAACTGAGAAACTTCTGTAAGGCAAAGGTCACGGTCAATAAGACAAAACCGCAGCCTACAGAATGGAAAATGATCTTCACCAACCCCACAACAGACAGAGGTCTGATCTCCAAAATATACAAAGAACTCAAGAAATTGGTCGTCAAAAGAACAAATAATCCAATAAAAAAAATAGAGTACAGACCTAAACAGAGAATTCTCAACAGAGGAATCTAAAATGGCTGAAAGACACTTAAGGAAATGCTCAACATCCTTAGTCATCAGAGAAATGCAAATCAAAACAACTCTGAGATTCCATCTTACACCTGTAAGAATGGCCAAGATCAAAAACACTGATAATAGTTTATGCTGGAGAAGACGTAGGGTAAAGGGAACACTCCTCCATTGCTGAGGGAGTGCAGACTGGTATATTCGCTTTGGATATCAGTATGGCAATTTTCAATCAATATAACACAACCTCCACACCTAAGGCTCAGAGACACCCTGGACAAGAGCACAGAAAGATTCTAAGAGCCAAGAACCAGGACATCTGCTGTAAGATAGTCTCTTCTTAAATAAAAAGGGGTGAATACAATCAAGATATATATAAAATCCCCTAAGAATATTATTTTTGAAAACTGTATATATAATTTAATCCTCAAAGGACCCTTATTCATTTAATAAATATATACTTGCTATGATAAAGGTACTTAATAATAAAACGTGGCGAACAATTCAGGAACAACACCCATGTCAACCTCTGGTCTCCACACATATTACATACAAAAAGACAACACACACTAAGAAATGCTGGAGCTGTATTGCATCCCAGAGATAATGCTCACTTTACAAGTGTGTAATCTTAATAGAACTCTTCACCTAGTTGATGCAGGTCTTTGATTTGTGCCCCCCATTGAGTATCAACTAAGCTTGCATGACACCCAGGGCTGACACTACAGAAACATCAGCAAAATGCCCTGGAAAAAAAGCTCCATAGAGCCCAGGCTGCAGCTGGATCCACCAGCAGGGTGTGTTTGTGTGTGTGTGTGGCTGAACGTGCATGTGGAGCCTAGATGCCATCATTGGGTCTTCCTTAATCACACCACGTTAATTTTTGGAACTCACCAATCAGGCTAGACTAACCTGCCAAGAAGCCCCAGAAATCCTCCGTCTTTGCCTCCCCATCAGTAGGCTGACAAGCAAACCATGTAAAACGTGCTTGGTTTTTTACATAGGTAATGAGGACTCAAACAGATCCAGAAGCTTGTATAGCAAGCACTTTATGGAATGAACCATATCCTTAGCCTGCTCTTTTTAGATACTCTAATATTTATGATACAGAAACATTTTGTACGTACATTCATGTACATGTAGGAGGTGGTCTTTTTACTGCAGGTGCACATGTCTTTGGAAGCAAGACGTCACCCTTGGGTGTTGCTCCTCAATCATCTTGCTTCTTTAAACAGGGTTTCTCACTGTCAAACTGCTTAGACTAGGCTGGTTGATGAGCAAGCTCCAGAGATCTACCTCCCTCTGCCTCCCCAGCACTGGGGTCACAAGCATGCACCACGAGGTCTGGCTCTGTATGTGTGCAAATGTGCTGTTGTGTACACATCCATATGGAGCAAGAGGCTGATATTAGTGTCCTTTAACAATTCCACCTTGTTTTTTTTTTTTTTTTTTTTTCCCTTTGGTTTTTCGAGACAGGGTTTCTCTGTGGTTTTGGAGCCTGTCCTGGAACTCGCTCTTGTAGACCAGGCTGGTCTCGAACTCACAGAGATCCGCCTGCCTCTGCCTCCCGAGTGCTGGGATGAAAGGCGTGCGCCACCAACGTCCACCTTGTTTTTTGAGATAGTGTCTCCCACTGGACCCAAAGCTAGACTTATCTAGACTAACTAGCTAGCAAACTCAGGGGATCCTCCTATTTGCACCTCTGCAGAGGAAGAATTACAGGTGTTCCCACCACTCCTGGCTTCCTATGTGGATACTAGGAAATAGTATATTCAGGTCTTCATGCACACATGGCAAACACGTTAGTGATACACTAAACTATCTCCCCAACCCACACCCAGCTTTTATGTGGGTCCTGAGAACTGAACTCAGGTCTTCATGCTTGTACAAGCACTTACCCTTCATGCTGGCTCCAGTCCATGAGAAACATCACTTAGCATAGAAACATTTGCAGTAAAAAGCTGACCACCATGAAAGCCATAGTTCCTGGTTGGGAGTTGATCCACATCCTCACCCTTCTATCTCAGATCCCTGAAGTTAAATGTCACATCAGGATGTCTGGAAACCAAGTCACGTACATAAATATTGTTGTATAGTTTAACTATACAAAATAGAGAATCCAGATATTTGTCATGCTTTAAATATTAGATATTTTAATTGTGGAAATTTAAGTTATCCCCCCCCCCCAAAAAAATAAACAAAATGAGAAGGCTGTTTTATTCTAAACCTGTCCATTCCCAGCATGCTAACTGTTCTAAGTCCTCATTTCATATTTAAAATGCAAACCTCTGTAAACGCCAACAACCAGGGCCAAGATGGGCCTGGACTTGACCTGGAAGGCAGAGCTTGCTTTCCCAACAGCATCAGAAAACTGTCAGAGTTCAGGAACTGCAGACTGAGCCTGTGGGCAGCAGGATCAGCAACAAGCACGGGTGAGACAAAGGTGGAAGACTACAAGCAGGACATGGTCTGCGTGTGCCCTGGTGAGGAGCACAGGGAGTAACATCTCATCACTCAACATGAATGAAGCTCTGGTGCCAACTCTGTGGCAGCTGCTGGGCATGCAATTAGTTCAAAGAAAACAGTGTACAAGAAAAACTTCTTTTTTTCTCAAATGGCTGTTGAATTTATTTCCTTGATCAATATCAATCCTGGCAAAAGTTAGTTAACCAACATTGAGACATTTGTAATGAAATACTAATTTTAAAAACCCATGATACCTTGATAGAAATTAGAGTTTACACAAACAAAAAGAAGTCTTCAATATGCCAGCAAATATAAAATGAATGTAGTACGTCTGACAGGACACAGCAAGGCGTTTATACATTTATATTTGACACCTGACCATATTTCCAGTCACCATAATATCTTCTCTCCAGATTTAAAAAAATAGTATGCTGATTTCTATAACAAAGCTTTTTTTCCGTACAAAAATCAAATAATGGCCAACAAGTCACGACAGTGCAATAGGTAGAGGCTAAAAAAAAAAATTGCATTAAACAGGTGCTGAAATAAATACTAACTAGGAGGGGAGACCAGAGCCCTCGTGTGGGTTTGTTTCTCACTTTAGTGTGTGCAGTTTGTCTTCAGAGCCTCAGGGCACCTCCCAAGGGGGCCAATCTGGCTGGCTGCCCAGAGTCAGGCCTCTTAGACATCTCGGAGCAGTCACCTGATCTAGAAGCAAAATCAGGTGGGATCATGTCTTCCTCTGCTCAGTGTTGTCAGAGGGAGTCCTGAGCAGCTCCTGGAGAGGACATGAATGAGGAAGAACTTCTGCATGACAGCATCCACCTAGCTTACTCTGGCAGAGGTGTGCACATCCTAGCCCAAGCAAGCAACTGAAATCGTCTGGTTTTCCTGGAAGGTCAGTTATGTAAAAGGTTTCTGGCTTGAGACGCATCCTTTGTGTTAATGTCTCAGGGTCAAGGTGGTCACCTCTGACCACCTCAGTGAAAAGGCCTTTGCTGATCCCTGGCAGTGAGTGACTGGGCCTGCACTGCCGAGTCTGGTGGCAGGCTCCACGCATACAGAACTTCTATTTGCCACCAGACTAGGCCATCCTGATAACTCACACTGACGGACTCGATTTTTAACTATAAAAGCAAAGTGGTACAGGGCAGGGAAGGAACACCCAGAGAGAGCCTTTTTGGCCAGTCAGAAAATATGAGGCAGCTCCCCACTGAACAATCTGCACCAAAAGGTGTGGAAGGCACAAGCAAGAGTGGCCAGAGACCCTGTGGGGCTGCGAGACCACAAGCGTCCACAAGGCAGGTGCAGAAGTGACCTGGTTTGGTTCCCACCCTTTGATAAGAAATCCTGATTCTGCTGTGATTTAAAAAAAAAAAAAAAAAAAAAAGCAAAGAAAGACAATTTTTGGTTTAAAAAGAAGCCACTCAAGGGTTAAAATAGTTATTTTTAACAAAGAAAATTAATTTTCAAATGAGCTGACACTATCTGGAAACTCATGTGTTCCCTGTAAGCCCCTGGTGTGTCCACTACTTCACCCTCCCAGGACCTGAGCCTGACGAGGAGCCAGATGTGTACAAGAGGAAGCATCTGTGAGAACCTCTACAGCATGGATAGCAGCAGAGTCCGCTGACTTGCTTACAGTAAGACGCACAGGGCCCGGCAGGCAGTTCAGATGGGCGTCTCCTTCCGGTCTTTGCTGGGGGAGGGCTTCACCTGCTCCTTAGCTGCTTTGACCTCGAGGACGCCATCACAGGGCGGCGGGCCTATGCCCCCTCGCCTCTCAGGCTCCTCGTCCTCCTGCAGCTGCTGCTCAGACTTGGCTCGCTGCATCTGGAGCAGTCGGAGCTGCACACGCAGCTCAATGATGGCCTCCCGCTCCTCATGGACTGCCTGGTTCAGGTGGTTGTTCTTTATCTTAGGGGACAACAAAAAGGGCAGTCAGAAGAACAGGGAATCAGGGCAGAGCACAAGCTGCAAGCCCTCCCACACAAGGATCTACTTCTATTTTAGCCAACCTGGCTGGTTCAACAGAAGACACAAACATGAATATGCAAATGACCAGATAAATACAGCTCTGAATGGGGGGAGAATATAAACTCTGCCTGGAGTTACAAAGGAGTAAACACATCTAGAAAACAAGGTGTCAACAGAAACAGTTGTTCTAGGAAGTATTTTAGTGTTTAAATGGGCTTTTTTTTCCTTACACTGTTTTCTGAACAGACTTCAAGGAGAGTACAAAGATAATTTTAGCCGCAATTAGGAGAGGGAATTGGAGCTGCGACTCTTTTCCATATCAAAATCCGTCTGTATGACTATATTCGAAATGTGCTACTTAAAAGTCTACAGGAAACCATGCTCACTTCTAAATGATGTACACTCCCTCATTCAGCAGAGTTTGCTAATCCCAGGCTCTTGGCAGTCTCTTTCTGGCAGCAACTGCCTCCATCCTTCAGAGCCCTCTCTTCGTCCTCAGTATTTCCCAGCATCCCTTGTTCAAATGGGTTGAGACAAGGATAAGTCCTACTTGTATGCCCCGACATGACACTGGGTGTCCTGGATCCTTCCCTCCCCTACTAATACATGGCAAGACTCAGGACAGCCACTTTGGCCCCAAATGGGAAAGCTCCGTGAATAATGGGCCTACACAATCCGAACAATAAAACACTACGCGGATTCTGCCATTTGTCTTCCTATTCAGTAAAATGAAGAGATCAAACTAATGTGCCAATGTTGTCTTCTAAACAGCAGACTTCCCAAAGACCCACATCTCATTTCTGCTTATTTCCTTTCCTGTTTTTGTTTTAAACAAGGTCTCACTGTGTAGACCAGGCTGGCCTCAGACTTATGGAGTCCCAGTTGCCTCTGCCTTCCTAAGTCCTGGGATCACTTCATAGGCATGGATACACGGTGCATGCATATGGGGATGAGAGGACAACCTGTCCTGCAGGAGGGAGCTGTCTTCCTCTAACTCAGATCCTCAGCTGCAGAGCAGCATGTTCACCTGCTGGGCCACCTCCCTGGATCCCTGCACCTCTCCCCCAGGACGGACTCCTGCAGCAACAGGTGTTTCTGACACCAGCACCCTCCTCTCACTCTGCCCACCCTCCACACAGACAGTGGAAGGGCAGAGGTCCTGGGCAATTCTTAAATATTTTTAAATTTTATTTACTTTTATGTGCAATGGTGTTTTGCCTGCACGTATATTTATGTGAAAGTATCAGATCCCCTGGGACTAGAGTTATAGACAGTTGTGAGCTGCCATGTGGGTGCTAGAAATTGAACCTGGGTCCTCTTCCAGAGGACCCAGGGCTCTCAACTGCTGAGCCATCTTCCAGCCCCTAAAATGATAGTTTTCAGATCTTTTCTTGTTGTTTTTTTTTGAACCCAACTGTCCTGGAATTAACTCTGTAGAATAGGTTGGCCTCCAACTTAGAAATTCACGGCCTCTGCCTTGTGAGTGCTGGATTCTGTGCAACTCTTGACGCCCACATGGGCATGGCTACGCTTTGTTTGGCAGTTCGATGACCATGAATAAAGCAAGCTGTCCCTCTGCTCACTGGGTCCTACCACAAAAGACAACATTTTTACTTCGGATAAGAAAGGAGATCTTTTAAATCAACCTTCTCTTCCCAGCACAGCTGCTGCCCAGAGCTTTCTGTCACACTGACTTTGTGGCACAAGGACAAGACAACTGTCGCTCACTTTACCTCTTGCACCTCATCTCTGCCAGTGGAAGGGCTAGCCCATGCAAAGGAAGGTCCATTTGTACACTAAGGTCAAGGCTACCACACTTCAAGCAGCCAAGATCACATATTTCATGCTGGGGAGAAGGCCCTTGGACTCCTCTCTGCGAGTCTGCAGTGGGAAAATAGGCAGCAGTCTCAAGCACATTTTAGAAACTACTGGTTTCTGGCTGGTGTCTACCCAGACTCACTTCTAGCTCTTCGTTCTGCCTCTGTAAGTCCTCCAGGATGATCTGCAGCTCCTCCTCGTCCTCGCTCTCACTTTCGCTCTCAGAGGAGCACTCCTCGGTCTCGCTCCGGCCGTGCTGCTGGCGACTGTGAGGAGACAAAGGGAACGCTACTGTGGCCTGATGGCCAGCTCTCTGAGGTCTCCCATGCTCAGGAATTTACCTGCGCTGTTTTAAGACCCGATAAGAAGCTCGAAGTGACTACTTCAAAAGCCTAGTTCCTTTACAGGAATGTTTAAACAATTCTGTTCAAAGTGAGAGCCAACATGGCAGGAACTTCCAGCCCCACAGCTCTCCTTTACCTCTGGATTTCTGCAATCTCAGCTCGGAGGCGCTCAATCTCTTCCTTCTCTGAAGCAATCTGACGTCGCAGAAACTGCTCCATGGCCAGGAGCTCCTCCTGCTCAGTCAAGATCTCATTCTCCTGAAACGATTGCAGAACACCTTTCCGAGTTCTGGTAGAGGCAATGCCCCCTATTCAGTCACTACCAGCTTGGTGCTGAACATGAGTTACTTCAACCAAAACCACATATTTCCTCAGAATCAAGAAAGGTTACACAGTTATTTTGAGAGACCGTCTAGACTCTCCACAACAACAGGGTATATACAAGAACCTGTTGTGTTCTTTTTGCAAGGCTCCCTATGAGCCTACCACTCCAACACCAAGGATCAAAGTCAAAATCTGCTTCAGATTCCCGGGGGCTAAACAGATTGCTTAGCAGTTAGGAGTACTTGCTTTTCTTACAGAGAACCCAGTTCAGCCCTCAGCACTGGCACTGGGGTACCCACAACCATATGGAACCAGCTTCAGGGGATCCAACACCCTCTTCTGGCCTCAGCAGGTACCTGAGCATGTGTGTGCAACACATACACACAAATAAAAAGCACAATCTAAAACTCATCTGCTTTAGCTTCCTGTCTCTCAGAATTCACGGTCACTAGGAAAAGAAGGACCCCAAGAGATGATGTGTAGCTGGTTCCAGCGTCAGTGGAAGGCAGACCAGAGAAGGAAAGTTACAGATCTTACTTCCTCGCTGCACTTGGCCACGCCCTCCAGATAAAAGAGAGAACTCTACTTGACAAGTTAACCATCCTGATCTGCTTGACAGATAATCATATGGGGAGAACCTCTATCCTCACACATTCAGGGTCCCCCAGCCTAGGGAAAGCAGTCAGCAGGAATGAGGAGCTGGAGACAAAAGCTTCAGCATCTTTCCAAAGAAGGGGGAAGGGAAGGCACCATGGTCATGATGCAGTAAGTACGGAAAAGCTATCAAGAAAGTTACTTCTCCTCCGTGTTTAAACACAGACATTTCCCCTTTGCCTTGGGATACCTATGTAGTTAATATTCCAAGAAATCTCAGACGGAAAACCTTGAAGAGAATAATGTAGAACTTTATTCTCTCCTGTTCTCGCTGACACCTGTAAATCCAGAAAAAAGCCTACAACATAAACTTACTTGTGGACTAAACAAAACTAAGAAACTAGACAGAAGGCCGCTTCTCCTCCACACAAACACCACACAGGGCAGGGCCATAGATCACAAGTCCTTGGGAGTCACTTTACAATTTTGGTTTAAAAAGTCTATAGTTGAGCTTCTATTTGAAAAAAAATGACCAATAAATGACCTCAGAAATTAAAGAGTTTAGCTTACCTGGGCAAGGAGGATATTTATAACTTCCTCATTTTCATTCATTTCTTCTTTGGAAACGTCCTCTTTTGAAAGACTGGCTATCTCCTGTGCAATCTTGGTTTCACACTCCTGTCAAAGCAGACAAATGAACTAACTGTTCAGCGCATGTCTAAAACAGCCAACAAACGTCTCTCTTAACTTACCAAAATTAAAGAAAACCCCAGCAGTCATCAGGGGCACTGCCTAACAGGATGGACGGGCATTTGCTAACCGGGCTTAGAAAATAATGTGTGTAGAACCAGGCATGGTGATGGCACACACTTTTAACCCTAGAGGCAGAGACAGGAGGATCTCTGTGAGTTTGAGGCCAGCCTGGTCTACAGAGTGAATTCCAGGACAGGATGGCATAGAAAGATCTTGTCTCAAAAAAATCAAAAACAAAAACAAAAAAACAAAACAAAAAAAACCACAAACACAAACCAAAACAAGAATATAATATGAGCAGAAACAGCAAGGTAGTTCAGTGGTAAAGACATTTGCTGTCAGGAAGCCTGACAACCTGAGTTCATCCCCTCCCTGGAACCCACATGATAAAGAACACTGATTCCTGCAAGTTGTCCTTGGTTGTCCACACACAAGTGCACACTAACACACAAACAAATAATACAAATGTAAAGGTAAGAAGAGAGCATAACATGGTTCCCCTTAGCCTGTGGCCACACTATGAAGAATGCTCAGCTCTCATGAATATGCTCACTACTTCAGTACCACGTGTGATGCCTTGAAGGGGGCTACTAGGGCCGTCAGTTCTAAGCCTGGTTTAACTAATTTTACCATACACACACAATCAAGAAGCTGCCACCCTTTGTTAGAAAATATCCCCTTGGCTCCACTATCTGCTGACACCCAGCAACTATGGGCCTGCTTTCTATCCCTACAGTCTCTCTCCGTTTTGGATGACCTGACTCCATCAGTCAGCAGGCTCTCGAGCCGCACGCTTAGCTTAGATGCTTCTGTCTACTGTGCTGATGTGAGTAGCTGAGTGACGGCCAGGGCACAGATGTGCTCAACCGCCAGTGGCTCGGGGTCCTCTGCTGCTCTCTGCTGTTACGAACACTTCACAGATACTCTGAAGGCTTAAGGGCTGCTGCTCTCTTAGAGGACAAATTTCTGGTACACTTTTATAAGAAAGTGACCAGATGATATCATGGTTTAAATTGATACTGTATTTTTCTTATTTTCAGTCACTAATCCACTGAATGATGCTACTTCTGTCTCTAAGTCATTTTACCCTCAAAGGCGAAGTCAACACAATGGAATCTGGGGGTACAGCTACAAAAAAAAAAAAAAAAAGCAAGAAGAGGGAATGGTAGGGGAAGAAATACAGGCTAATAAAAAGAAGATATTCATCCTTTTCGAACTGCTATACTGCCTCTGGTTTCAATCCAGAATTCTCTATGTGCATGTGTGCACATTTGTGGACTTGGGTGCCTGTATATAGAGGCTAGAAGGCATTTGTTGGATGTTATTCCTCAATCAATTCTCCATCTTCCTTCTTTCTTTCTCTCTCTCTCTCTTTTTTTTTTTAGTCAATGTCTCTGTAGAGTGTGCTGCTTAAATCTTGTTGCTGGATCTGCATGTAGATTGGAAGAACTTCTGGAAATGTGTATTTTAGCTTTGGTGCGGCCAGGAAACTTGAGTCCAGTACCAAGCCTCGCACCTTAAACTAGTGCGACTTAAAGTCACACCTTAAAGTGTGACCTGTGACCTCTATCTGCAGCAGCAGTTGCATGCAGTTCCTCCCCTGCTGTATGGAACCCTCCTAGGCCTTCATCCCTGCATTTCTATTCAAAATTCAAACTTCTCGGAAATCTCCAAAGGTCTCACACCCAGCCTGCTTCTCACCCTTAGAGAGTTGTTTACACACACAAACCAGGCAGGAAATAAACACCTTCTTAATTCAAATAAAAAAAAATGTCTAAACTTAATGAAACATTTGATTTCTACCAAGCTAAAATATGAATAACAGCACAAGAAACATTTATGAATAAATTTTCCACTAGAGAATTTGTCAATCATATACCTATTACTTTTAAAAGAAATAACTTATAACAATGTAAAGATGTGGTACATTTGTTTATGTTGCAGAATATTAATTAAACTGTGTAATGGTGTGTTATAATTGTTTATGCTGCATTTGTTTAACTATGTAAGATGTACTGCCATTTGTTTCACCTTGCCTGCCTAAGGTACAATAAGTCTAATAAAGACCTGAACGGCCAATAGCTAGGCAGGAGAGGGACAGGCAGGGCTGGCAGGGCAGAGAGAATAAGTAGGAGAAGGAATCCAGGCTCAAGAGAGAATGGGGGAGAAAAAGAGCAAAATGCCTGGGGTCAGCCAGGCAGCTGCCAGACAGACAGACACAGAGGGAGCAGTGAAGCAGGACATACAGAATGAAAGAAAGGTAAACATTTCAAAGTCAAACTGCTGCTGATGGGAAACAGGATAAATGAAGTTACAAGAGCTAGTGGGACAAGCTTCAGGTAAGGCCAAGCATTCCTAACGATATTAAATATCTCCGTGTCACGATTTGGGGCTGGCAGTCGGAGAAGGTCTGTTACAATCTGTTACAAGTCAGTGTACAGAAGACTCCCACACTCTGCACCTTTGGAGACACAGGGTGTAAGGCAGTAACTCACTTGTCTTTTAGCTTCCCTCAGTTTTCTCTTGAGGGCAGTCAGAATCCTTTGTACTTCCCATAATCTTTCTTCTTTAGATAAGTCCTTTATCCCACCCTGCAGATCTCGATGTAAACAATTCAAAAGAAACTCCTAGAAAACAAAAGGACACATGGAAAGCTGTTCATGTCTTGTTGTCTAAAGGCAGCACGTGCGACTTCTATGATGAAGAACCAGCTCTCTGCGGGAAACAGTGCGGACTGTTCTCTCCACAAGGCTGCCGCTAGCTTGCAAACCCACCCTTCATTTGCTTTACCGAGGAATTAGGCCCTCATTCATGTGTTTCTAGCAGTTCAACAGCAACCAATGCACTTCCTTCTGTCTCCTCCTCACAGCAACTGACGAGGAGAACGCAGCAGAGAAGCAGACATGTGACCATGTTCATGCAAACACAATGTATGCAAGCTTTTTATTCAGTCTTGAATTTCTTACCAGGTCATCTCAGTCTCTCCACCTCCTCCCTACACACACACACACACACACACACACACACACACACACACACACAGGCACACACACATTTACTGGATTTCCTTTATATCAAAGCAGCATAGTGGGAAAGTTCAAATTTTGAGCTAAATATTGGTTACATGGTCTAGAAATTATGCCACAAAGTAAATTACTAAAACTTCCCTTTCCAGTATTTTAGCTATAAAATATGATAGATAACAGCACATTTTTGAGATCCTGGCTGTGGTGATTCCTTCCAGGTATTATCCCCCACATTAATTCCGGAGCTCATCCATTTTAAAATGAGAAGACCAAGGTTTACTACGAATGCTGAACAATTTGCCTAAAATTAGCATGTCAGGAATGAGCAGAGCAGGAGCTTAAAACCAGTTCTTCCAGTTTAAAATCCTATGCCATTCCCACCATGGTTACTTACGTGGTGTGACTAGGGTCAGCTGAAAACATGCCATGAAGAGCATGTTCCCAAGACAGGGCCGAGTTCAGAGGGAGGAGCGGAGGGCTTCCTTCCATCAGGCCTGTGCTCCATCCCCAGGGTGCACCAAGAGATAGAGGAAGGCACACAGGAACCACACTACTCAGGAAGCTAGAGTTCATGTGGTCAGCACAGAAGCAGGCAAGGACAGGCAAGGAGAGGGTGGGGTCAGAGCAGGGCAGGGGCAGAGGCCAAGTACACACCTGTCTCCTGATCTCTTCCTTGATGCCTGCCTGGGTCTCTGGCAGTGTGGGCATTGTAGCCATGTTGGACCAACGCAGAGGTCTTGTCACTTGCTTTAGGACCACAGTGCCAAAGAGCTCTTGCACATGTGTGAAGAGCACATACAGGACACGGTTGCTGATCTGTAGAAAATAGGTGCAGAGTTCATAAAACCGCTGAGGAGATCTCTTACTCCATCGGCACCGGTCACAGTGCATCCGTTAATCCTGGACACGGAAAGGAAACTCCACAGCAGAGACAAAAGGGCTTTTCTAACGAATGGTCAATGTAAGAAGAGAATACGAAAGCCTGACTTAATCATGCCTCAAGCACCATAAGGGAAAAGCCTGGAAAGGATACAAAACACATGCCCACCAATCTGCACTTTCCTGTCACCCATTAGCTGGCTTTGACTACCTAACAGTCCTCTCCACTGTATTCGAGACCTTTCACACACAGCTGGTGGTGGAGCACCTGCAGGTGTACAGAGCAGGCAGTCTTGTGGGGCGTGCACCAGCATTCCATGATGTCCCCAGACTAGGAAGGCAGGACTGCAGGATGGCTAAACAATGGAGACAAGTTTTTTCCTGGTTCAAACTTTCTCTTAAAATTCCTCTAGGGAGCTGGAGAGATGGCTCAGAGGTTAAGAGCATTGCCTGCTCTTCCAAAGGTCCTGAGTTCAATTCCCAGCAACCACATGGTGGCTCACAACCATCTGTAATGGGGTCTGGTGCCCTCTTCTAGCCTGCAGTCATACACACAGACAGAATATTGTATACAAAATAAATAAATATTTTTAAAAAAAATTCCTCTAGAGCTTCTGTGGTATAAGCACCCATGCTATGGCAATGAGTAACAATGTAGTATTGACCAAACTCTGAAACCCAGGCTAACAAAACTGATATTTGAGAAATTTAATAAACAGTTTGTTTCCTGGGCAATGTTGGTGTACGCCTTTAATCCCAGCATTCAGGAGGCAGTGGCAGGTAGATCTTTTGAGTTTGAGACCAGCTGGAATTTCCCAGAGAAACCCCATCTCAAAACACCAAAACAAAACAAAATTTAGACCTACTATCTCCTCTTTTCTTTTGACACAATAAGGTATAGTTTACTACAAATGCAAACACAGTCCTGGACAGCATCACTGAGCAGTGGTGAGGGGACAGGAGGCTAGGAGGACAGCTTAGTCACTAAAGCACCTATGGTGCAGGCAGGAGGACCTGAGCTCCATCTCCCCAGTTCACAGGTGCATGACTGTACACACTTGCAATCCAGTGCTGGGGAGGCAGGGACAGGAGGGTCCCGATGGTTTGCTGGCCAGCCAGCTTAGCCTATTTGTCAGTTTAGGCCAGTGAGAGACACTGTCTAAAGGAGGGGGAAAAGGTGGATGGTTAGTATCTAAGGAACAATACTTGAGTTTGTCCTACGACCTCCACATAAATATGCATACACCTACGTGTGCAGCCACACACATGCAATTCCTACATACAAACAGAAAAGAATGCCAGGTATGTTATGACCGGGTTACCCATCATTCGCCTTCTTGGAGTCAATGTTTCACAGACACTTTGGCAACAGATTGCTCCCTAATTTCCCAGTCTCGACACCCAAAGGGGCGTGCAGACAGGACCCATACCTGGACGGTCGGGCTAAGTACTATGGAGATGTTCTGGATATTCATTTTCGTCTCTAGCTCCTTCGCAATGACGTGGTCCATGTGCACAATGAGCCAGGAAATCAGAAGATGGTTACATTCTGGCAGTTCCTTGAGCAAGCGCTGGAATTCCTGTACTTTCTCCATCTCCGTGGTCCTCCCACAAGCCTCTTCAAATCGGGGCATAAGCTCTTTGGTAAGCAAATTCTCTGGAAGGTCTCGCAAATACTGCTTCAGCAAACTGGCTACAGTGTTAGGCTCATATTCTTCCAAGTTTGGAGACTCCTCTCGGTCATAGGCCGCTTTTAGCTCATCTACCTTTGATTTGATTCCTTAAAACATTAAATTTAAAAGAGAAATAATACCAGAAATCAGACATGCTTTCTCCACCCCTATACACGCCTACTGCAGAGACACAGAAACATCCAGGAACCACCTCTGGAAGCCAGGTGTGGTGACTCACACCGGTAATCTCACTACTTTGAGACCGAGGCAAGAGGACAGCTTCAAGTTCAAGGCCAGTCTGGGCTACAGAGCAAGACCCTGCTCAGAACTAAATAAGAGCCCTCCTGATGGGAATTAGTACTACATGTGAGCCATACAACTCCTCTACAAACATAAGCACATAAAATCACAATGAAAAACTGAATATTCCCAGAAGCCATAGTATACTAAGAAAATATGCTTAATCCAGAAAAATTAAATATTATGGCAATTAGATAAAAATTCAGGGGGAAATGAAACTATAAACCAAGCATATACACTGTACGAATAAAAGGCAACTTTCTAACTCCTCACAAGACAGACAATGTAAAAAGAAGCTCCCACACACAGTAGCTTATCCACAGGGCAGTAGAGAGCTGTCGCTTTGTAAACAAGAGACAAAGTTTCCTAGTTTATCAGACTCACTGCAAATATCAAAGACAGGTCAGAAACAAAAGAATTCTTTGAACAAAGTTACAGAAAATTTCAGAGAAACTTTTATCCCCCCCAAAAATGTCTTCATGCTTATCAAGATCATATAGGAAATAGTTTCTAACGCTGTTTAAACCATCAAAACTTTTCAATATATAATAAACGCTTAAAAATCAAATTTGCAAGTTTGTCTTTAATTTTATAAGGAAGTAAGAAATTATACAAAAATGCACTGTGTTTTACTTTGTATAAAATAGTAGCAATGCAGCATTTATCTACTGAGTCACAGAAATGTTATCCCAAGTATCAAATCTATCTCCTGGAAAGGATATGAACCAATCAAGTGGAAACTTTGCTTATTCTTTCTCTCTGTTCTGAATGCATATGACTTACCTCTCACCCCATGAAGAGATGTGTGGTCAGGGGCTTCATCACAACAGCCCCCTGGGGAGCATAATGACTGATGCACAGACACTGCTCAGCCTGGGACCTGAACGCCATGGCAACACAAAACTCATGCTGCTTTTGAAGAAAGAAATCTTTGTACTGCTTAGATATCTAATATGAAACACATTCTGGCCAAGTATGCACTACAATGGTTCGCATAAACTATGTAGATGAATGGGTCAGTCTTGGGGACAGCTGCAATAGCTCTACGTGGCTGGCGGAGTATACACATTTGGGGCCCAGCTACTTAGCAAACAGCACTTGGCGTCTTTAGTCAGGCTAAGGAAACACATAGCACGGCCATGTCATTAGTCATTCATCTTGGCTGAGAAGCTTCCTTCACACCAACCTCAGACTCCCCACCACTGGGCCGAGACTTAGAGAGGCGAGCCCAGGCTTGGCACAGCATCCTGAGAGGTGATTCACTCTGCCCAGCTGCAGCTGTGAATAACTTAGGAATAAATCCTAATGGAAAATCAAACGCGGTGCAAGGACCAAGGGCGTGAGGAAGGTTTAGATCCAAACCAAAGTGTTCCTGACAAGTTAATAGTCTTTCCTTCCTTTAGGAAATAAAGAGAAGCTAATTTTTGAAAACCATCAAGCAACATGTATGTCCCCGATACCTGAAACTCTGTAGATGCCTTCGCACTTCATGCCATGCTTCTCCATGTAATCTATGCACTCACGGAAGACAGCTGGCAAGCGCACACCATCATACATCATGGTCCTCTCTACCGCGTCAGCCAAGGGAACACCAAAAATGGGTCTGAGACTCGGAACGTCAACCTGAGGTACCTCTGGCTCCTGAATTGGCTTTTTCTTTTTCTTCTTTTCCTTCCACTGTTTAACAACATCAGCTGCTGTCAAGTCTTTAGATTTCTTTTCTTTGTGCTTTTCTTCTTTATGCTTTTCTTCTTTGGGTTTTTCTTTGATTTTAAAATCCTTCTCCTTCTTTTTAGAGAAGCTGGGCTTCTTGAACACATGGATTCCCTTGGACCTCTTCATCTTGGATGGACTTTCGGCTTCATCTCCAGAGCTATCTTCCTGGAAGGCAGCATAGCCTTCAGCTGCCAAAGAAACGCAGTAGGTATAAATTACATTTTCAACGTCAAACTGTCCACATGCTTCATTTATTTATTTATTAAATATTTCTGCCTCCTCCCCGCCACTGCCTCCCATTTCCCTCCCCCTCCCCCGATCAAGTCCCCCTCCCTTATCAGCTCGAAGAGCAATCAGGGTTCCCTGACCTGTGGGAAGTCCAAGGACCGCCCACCTCCATCCAGGTCTAGTAAGGTGAGCTGAGCTGAACAGAGAATTCTCAACAGAAGAAGTTCAAATGGCCAAAAGACACTTAAGGTCATGCTCAACTTCCTTAGCGATTAGGGAAATGCAAATCAAGACAACTTTAAGATACCATCTTATACCTGTCAGAATGGCTAAAATAAAAAACACCAATGATAGCCTTTGTTGGAGAGGTTGTGGAGAAAGGGGTACACTCATCCATTGCTGGTGGGAATGAAAACTTGTGCAACCACTCTGGAAAGCAGTGTGGCGGTTTCTCAGGAAATTCGGGATCAACCTACCCCTGGACCCAGCAATACCACTCTTGGGAATATACCCAAGAGAGGCCCTATCATATGACAAAAGTATATGCTCAACTATGTTCATAGCAGCATTGTTTGTAATAGCCAGAACCTGGAAACAACCTAGATGCCCTTCAATAGAAGAACGGATGAAGAAAGTATGGAATATACACATGCTTCTTAAACAAAAAAAAAGATTCCACCTGGCAGAAGCTATACAGCTTTCCACCGCTAGGGTCTCCAGAAAACCAGCAAAAGAGCAATGGTGTGTTGACATCTAATGACCACAAGAGGGCAACAGACAGCAGCGATCCTTGCAATGCCAATGTTGAGAGGAAGTTTTAGATTTCACAGTGAATGTATGCAGAGTTCTGGAAACAAGTATGAACATACACAAACACAGAACAGAGGACTAACGAGATGAAGCCTACAGGGCAGAGCGGGTGCTGCTGCTGCTCGGCGACTGTTCGTCCTCTAACGGCATTCACGAGGCACAGCTCCACCACTACTCCTCTGCCACCTCTGCTCTCCTCCCTTTCTGGAAAAACTAGAGCAGGGACTACAAACTCCTTTAAACTGAATGCCAAATGCAATTATTCCCTCACTTTGGCTGCCACATTAGAAGTAATTTTTGCATTTTGACAAAGACGCTAATTGTCTTAATACCAATTCAGAATTGTCAGTTTGCTTTTCTTTTTGTTTGTTTTTAGGATGGAGTTTCACTACGTTACTTAGGCTGCCTTAAACTAGGCACAGACAATGCTCCTGCATCGGCCTCCAGAATAGTTCAACTACAGGCACGTACCACTGCACCTGGCTTTTTCTTTACACTCGATACAGCTCTGTCTGTCCTGGAACTCACTCTGTAGACCAGGCTGGCCTCCAACTCGGATCCACCTGCTTCTACCTTTGAGCGCTAGGATTAAAGGCATGCACTACAACGCTTGGGGCAAATTTTCTCATACTATTATTTTACGTGTGTGTCTACATCAGTGTGTGCTACATGTGCCCATGGAAGTCAGAAGAGGGCATCAGGTGCCCCGGATCCACAGTCACAGGTGGTTATGAGCTTATTGGTTCTGGGAGCAGCAAGCATTCTGAACTGCTGAGCTATACTCTAGCCCTACTTTGTTGCTCTTTTGTAATAGCCCTAATTCTTCTTTCCAGTAGCTAACTACCTTCCGAGGTACTTTATAGCATAGAATAAACGTAGCTCACAAGTTACCTTTTAATTCAAACACCATGAACCTTGCACTACTCACCAGAATGGTAAAGATCTTAAGGGCAAGCTGGGCGGTGGTGGCGCACAGCTTTGATCACAGCACTCGGGAGGCAGAAGCAGGCGGATCTCTGTGAGTTCGAGACCAGCCTGGTCTACAAGAGCTAGTTCCAGGACAGGCTCCAAAACTACAGAGAAACCCTGTCTCAAAAAAATCAAAACAAAACCCAGAAATGGGAAATGAGAGATTCTGCCTAGACTATTTCCGAAGACAATGGAACACTTGAGTAGAGCAGAAGCATATCTCAAACATGCCAAGCTAGGTGTGTTGGCGATGTGAGCCCACAAGTATTATACAGTCAAAGTACAGCTGACAGACCACTAGACAGAGCTTCAGGAACACCTGCCTTTTGGACAGTCACTATCAATTCTGTAAAAATCTTGTGAAATCATGTTTCTCCCATCCATAATGGGATTCATTTCAAAATACCCCAGCAGTGTATAAATCATTCGTTGAGATAACTTCTTTCTTACAACTGTATACTTTCTCCCACACTATGGTGCCCTGGTGTGAACATTCACTCAGCCAAACCTTTGTTCTCAAAATCAAATCTACGTGAAGCTAAACTCACACAATTACCCTTATTGACAGGACTCACTGATAAGAAAGGAGCCCCAAGCAGGAGGCACTGAGCAGAGTCTGCTCTCACTGATAAACAGGTCTGGGTGGCCCAGAATTCTCTAGCAGCAGACTCAGGAAGGTATAATCTACTGGTCTTTGCTCTAACCTAACAAGCTATTAATATTCTGTACTTCCCCTTCACCTTGGTTTCAGTTAATGTAAGATCATAACCCAGGAAATTAACTGTTTATGCCTTTACCTCTAGAAATACAGGGAAAAAGCTTGAGTTGCTAAACCAGCCCCAGAGAAAGAAATTCCCTCTCATCTGGGTCCTGGCAGGTACCCCACGAGAGCTAGAAGCTCCATCTCCAAAGAAATTCCTTTTAACTCAGCTAGCTAGACACTAATGCAATCAAGTATTTTTGCCTTCCTCCCAGGCCCGCAGGTTTACTATAGTTAACCTATGCTGTGTGCCCAGCTGCTGGGGAAAGAAGCTGCAGGGCTTAGAAAATGCAACAGCACTGCCGCATTTTTCTACAATTATTAATCACAAACTTCTAGCTTAACTAATCACACTTAAGAAATGTAGTTAGTGCATGAAAACTTCTTAGAATTTTGTACTAATCCTTAATTAATCCTCCTGGTATCTGCCAGAGAGCTTCACAGCCACACCCCCCTGAGAGGCAATGCGCCTGCCTCCTTTACCTATTTTTGTGATTCTGTGAAATGCATGCTTGTTAACTGTCTGTGTGGGTATATAAAAGGGAAACCATGTGGGATGGGTAGAATAGCAAAAGACAGAGAGAGCATTGGAGAGAGCAGAGGAAGAATAATGAGACATGATAAAGACTCATTGAGCTAATTTATTTCGTTTAGATATCTGAGGAGATATCCCAGCCAATTTTCACCTGCTATAGCAATCCTTTAGTGGGGCTTGATCCCAACATAAACCCCGATATGGTATGTGCCTGTAATCCCTCAAGAAACCCTTCAAAAGCATAAAGAAAACCAATACTGGCTCGGCTCTGGTGGCGTGACTGTGGGAGAGCAGGCAGGCTGATCAACTCAATACCTCCCAGGTCCAGTTCCAGGGCTTTGAGTTGGCCCACCCCAGCTGCTGGAGTAAGTGAGCGGCTGACCTCGGGATCCATAGCTGCAGGATCCTCATGACTCTAGGCAACAGCGGATCTCTGAGTCTCTATTAGGGTTCAGTATTGACGCTGTAGTAGAAGCCAGAGGCCTTGAACTAACCTAACACCTCATTGCAATGAACACTTGCAAGTAAAGCTGTTTGGGAAAAAGGCTGTACTGCGTTCACCACAGCTTGGACGTCACTAGGATAAACTACCGGGCGCGTGGTGAAGATGAGGGAAAGCTGGAGGAGCACACGGGACATGCACAGACACTGTGGTGACAGGGTAACTGCCCGGAGGGGTCAACAGGCGTTTTGATTTCTCTTTCTTCTTTCTTTCCTTTTCTAAAATTTTTTTTAATATTTATTTATTTATTTATTTATTATGTATACAATATTCTGTGTGTATGTCTGCAGGCCAGAAGAGGGCACTAGACCTCATTCCAGATGGTTGTGAGCCACCATGTGGTTGCCGGGAATTGAACTCAGGACCTTTGGAAGAGCAGGCAATGCTCTTAACCACTGAGCCATCTCTCCAGCCCCTCTAAAATTTTTTTAAAGATTTATCTATTATGTATACAGTGTCTTACTTACACACACCAGAAGAGGGCACCAGATCTCATCACAGATGGTTTTAAGTCACCATGTGGTTGCTGGGAATTGAACTCAGGACTGCTGGAAAAGCAGCCAGTGCTCTTAACCTGAGCCATCTCTCCAGCCCCTTACATTATTTTTTATTTACTTTTGGGGGGAGGCTACAAGGGTGGAGGGGAGATATGGAAGGACTGAGAAATTAGTACGGTTGGGATATATGATGTGAAAATAACCAAAGATTAAAAAAATTATTATAAAATTTTTTAAATAAATAAATAAATAAGCTGGGTGGTAGTGGCGCATACCTTTAATCTCAGCCAGATGTCTGTGAACTCAAGGCCAGCATGGTCTACAAAAGTTAGTTCCAGGACAGGCTCCAAAGCTACAGAGAAACCCTGTCTCAAAAAACCAATGGATGGATGGATGGATGGATGGATAGACAGACAGATGAAAATATAAATAAAATGAAAACCAGTACTTACTCCTTTTTTCCTTTTTCTTAAATTTTCCTTTTTTCTTCCCATGGTCTTTCTCATCATCCGACACTGTATCAGGAGGCTCATGGAGGATGTCATGAGGAGGTGAGGGCTCACCCGTCCGGTACAATCCAGGAAATTTTGTAGGGCTGATCTCCTCAGAGCTGGGGGTTCGAGTCAGCCCGCTGCCATGCTCTGCCCTGCGGTGTTCACTGGGGCTGCTGGTGGGGGGCAGGAAGCACTCGGTCATGCTGACGCCCTGACAAGAAAGGGAAGCGGTCTTCTCTGTTACCTATCCATCTGTTACACCTGCGTGGGAGAAAGCATGCAGTCAGCACACTACCATGGACACTCCGCCGAATCCTGCACTAACGGATACCCCCGACTTATACCACACGGTCCTCTCTACGCGTCATCTACTTCGGTTCTCAGAGCTCAGGCAGCCACAACTGAGACACAGGTGCCTGTAATTCAAGCAGTCAGAAGCTGAGCTACAAGTCTGAGGCCAACTTGAACATAGTAAATTCCAAGATATTTTGGGCTACAGAGTGAGACCCTGTTTCAAACAAAGCAATAATAATAATGAGTCCCTTTTAAAAGTAACTTATCTCTGGGTATAGTGATCACACCTTTAATCCCAGCATTTAGGAGGCTGAGGCACGCAGATCTGAGTTTGAGGCCAGTCTGGTCTATATAGTAAGTGCCAGTACAGCCAGGGTTATATGAAGAGACTGTCTTTTTTTTTTTCTTAAAAAAAAAAAGACAATTAATTAAATAAATTTTAAAATTTTTAAAATAACTCATCAATATAAAGGGCTTCATTTTAATAGATATTCAACATAAAACCTTATTTTTAAACTGTGCTCATCAAAAAGAAATTACAAAAGTCATATAACTATAACAAGAACAGTTTATACATGTCGTATTATTTACAACGGCTAAAATAATGTTTAATGGCCCACATAAGAGCTCACTAACTATAATTCTGTATGTGTGTAATCAGATGGTTCAGGTGTGGGAATAACTAGTCTATTTTGTATGATAGCTACACGGAAGATACAAAGCAGCTTCCTTTCATCATGCCTGCCCAGGAAGTGTTTCACTACAATAAACAAGCATAAGAGGTGTTCCAGTTGGTTGCTTCTCCTTTTCAGACAAAGTATACACAAAGTTCTGTGTTCAAAAGCTACTTAGAAGCTGAGGTGCGCACCTGTAACCCTAATCCTCAGAAATGAGAGCCAAGTAGATTCCAAGGCTAAGACCAGCCTGGACTACAGAAAAGCAAGTTCAAGGCCAGACCAGGCCGTACAGCCACACACTGTCCTTAAAAGAAAACATTTTTTTTTTTTCAAGACAAGAGTCTTACTATGTAGCCCTGGTTGGTGTGTAACTTGTTATGTAGATCTGGCTAGCCTTGAACTCACAGAGATCCTGCAGCCTCTGACTCCTAAACTGGAATTAAGGGTGTGCACCACCATGCCTGGCTTGCTTGCTTTCATTTTGTTTTTAAGACAGCCTCATGTAGCCCAGGCTGGCTTCAAACTCTTTTTTTTTTTTTAAGATTTATTTATTATGTATACAACATTCCTGCCATGTATGCTTGCATGCCAGAAGAGGGCACCAGATCTCATTATCTGTGAGCCACCATGTGGTTGCTGGGAATTGAACTCAGGACCTCTAGAAGAGCAGTCAGTGCTCTTAACCTCTGAGCCATCTCTCCAGCCCTGGCTTCAAACTCTTTATGTGGCCATGAATAACCCTGAACTTCTAACCTTCCTGCCTCTACCTCCATAGGGTTACAGGCATGGGCCACCAGACAGATCTGGCTCTTGGTAATTTTTATTGTACACAAATTAAACCTCAATAAAGCTTTAAGAAAAAAAGGCAATCATCAGTAGCCCTTCCCAGCACTAGTAAGCCACTCTATCCACTACCCACAGGCCCCCACAACTTGAATACACCTATTTGAATTATATATTCATGTATCTGTCTGCCTTCCTTGCTAATACAATCCAAAGCACCCAAATATTCAAATGACTATTTAATAAACTATTATTTGTTCCCAACATGTGTACTGCTGATAAAATGAAGCCACAAACCTTGCCCTTAGTTTTCAATTACAATCCAGAAAAAAATAAAAAGGTGTGTGTGGGGGGGTCCTTTACAGGAGTTCCTTAGTTCCTTTGGGAATTCATATAGTTAATACAGTTAGCACATCCTCCGGGGAAATTAGTGGCTTTCGGTTTACAAACAGAAAAACTAAGGCTCAGAGAGCTTAAAAATCACACAGCTAAATAAAGATAAAACCCTACTTTCCACATCACCGCCCTCATGCATATTTACAAAAGTCAGTATGAGAAGGGGAAAAAAAAAGGAGTACATGGGACTTAGGGAGCAAACTCCAGGTCAACCAATTAATGAAGCACAAATGTACTGAGCACAGCCCAAGGGCAGAAAGACCTGCAGAAAACGCCGGGTTTGTTTAAGATTTGCTTATTTGCAGTTTACCCATATAAGAAAGCGTCCATGCACGTACATGAAATGCACGCAGTCCCCATGGAGGAAGAGTCCATCAGATCCCTGGAACTGCGGTTACAAGCAACTATGAATTACCCAGTGCGGGTGCTGGAAACCAAACCTGGGTCGTCTGCAAGAGTAGCAAGTGCTCTTAACCACTGAGCCATCTCTCCAGTCCCATACCAAACCAGATTTTGACAAGTCAGCCTCTTGTGCTCCCAAAGCATTTTAAAAACTAACTACATGCTCCAAAACCACAGAGAAACCCTGTCTCGAAAAACCAAAAAAAAAAAAAAAAAAACTAACTACATTTTCATATAATCCTGACTTACTATGATTTTTATTAAATTTCCATACTAAATTGGCAAAAATAAGAATTTTGTTCATAAAACAATTTTCTTGCAAAACTGGCCCAAAGAATAATTTATTTATACTATGGACTGAATGTGTCTCCCCCAATCCCACATAGAAATTTGAATCTTCAAGGACTGAAGAGCTCAGAGTTCACCTTTCTTTCACTACAGAACACAGCAAGCAGGCCCAAGACACTGAATGAGAAGCCAGAACGTTGATCTTAGGCTACCCAGCCTCCAAAGCAATGAGTAGAACCAGTTTTGAATTCTGTTAAAGCACTATGATAAGACATCCTGAGTTGAATATAGATGGAAAGAGCTGGAGTTTAGGGCAGATATGAAGAACTGTGGGAGTTAAATATGAGGAAGAACAACGTGTTAGACCAGAAGGGTGCTACAGCAAATTGGAATTGCATAGGTGAGTAGAAGAGAAAGAATTCAAATGGTATATATGCCGTAAATTTAAGTATAAATATCCTAAGATAATAAATATCAAATCCCAGGAATTCCTATTTGTAATGCAAAAGGAAATCTGGCATTTTTCTCAATTTGAATAAAGAGTTTATACATATTCCTACTAGAAATAACTAAAATTTCTAGATAGATTTAAAAAAGAGAGAAAGAGAGGAGGAAGAGGAGTACGAGGAGGAGGAGAAGACAGGCTAGTTAAGAACCTAAAGACAAATGAGACTTGGGGTGAGTTTCCCAAGCTTTTGTTCCTTCTTCCACCCTCCTCCTGCTTCTCTTCTCCCCATGGTGAGCACTCTTTCTCTCTCTGGGAGGAGTGTGTGTGTGTGTGTGTGTGTGTGTGTGTGTGTGTGCGCGCGCGCGCGGGCTGTAGATACAAGAGGGCCCATCCCACTGTGGGTGGTTCCACCCTGTGCAGATGGTCCTGGATTGCATAAGAAAGCGGGCAGAACAAGCCACGGGGAGCAGGCCAGTAAACAGTGTTCCTCCATGGCCTCTGCATCAGCTGCTGCTTTCAGGTTCCTGGACTTCCTACAATAATGGATGATTACTGGAAGTGTAAACTGAAATAAACAAACCCTTTCTTCCCCCAAGCTGCTGTGGTCATGGTATTTTTGTGCAGCAATAAAAACTCTAAGACACCACAGTGTAACAATTTGAGGTAAATCAACTTTATAGAAAAAGTTTGTCTCATGATTGCAAGGAATTTGGTCCTGTTTTCTTAGGCCTGCTGTGAGGCTGTACATCACGTTAGAGAATCTGTCCGGGGCAAAGACACTCACTGGTCACATGGCCAGAAATCAGCAAAAAGATAGGAAGTAGCTGCAGTCCTACTACCCCTTTGGACAACGTGAGTTCAATGACCCAACTTCTCACTGCACCCCATCTTTTAAACATCTTAACAACTCCCAAATAATGCCAACCTAGGGACCAATCCTTAAGGAAATGGGTTTCTGAGAACCCTCAAAAAATCTAAATCATAGCATAATCTAAAAGAACTTGCTGAGTTGTACAGTTCACTAACCAAAGTATACCAGTGATCAATAAATTCAAGGAATAAAGCTCTGTATCTCTAACAATCCAAGAAATAAATGAAAAAGTAAAATATCTTAAGCTATCATAGTCATCATTTAGAAAGGATAATATTTAAAGGAATGGCAATTCCTAATACTGGTGTGGACTCGGGGCATCCAGAAGTCTAAATATTGATGGTGGAGTGTGTTTGCCAGTATCCCGGTCAACATACCTTCCCACATGATCCAACAATTCCATTCATGAACATCCACCCAAGAGAATTAGAAACAAAAAGACAGAAATGACCAGAGTAGATACTGTTAGCCAGGCACAGTGGTGTACATACAACTTTAATCCCAGCACTTGGGAGACAAAGGAGGAGGATCTCTGTGAGTCTGGGGCCAGCCTGGTCTACAGGAGTTCTAGGACAGTCAAGACTACACAGAGAAACCCTGTCACGAAAAACAAAAACAAATAAACAGCAGTTAAAACTAGAAACACTACAAGAAACTTTGAACACTGACATCCTAGCTAACGGATTCTAGTCTGATCTCTGAGGGGTCAGTCCGAACCAGACATTGAAAACAGCAATGTTTTGAGGTAAATATGAAACATATTATCTTGAACACAATCCTGAAGATTATCTCACTGCATTGATGCAAATACTCCAAAAATGAAAGAAAAACAGAGAACGCTCTGTTCCTAAGTATTTCAGATAAATAACACCCTATGGATTTCACTATTACTTCTCAATCTTTCCACTAACGCCCAGTGTAGGATCAACCTGTATTTATGATAGGCTCTAAAACAAGCTGCCATCTAGGTCCCATGAGGAGGAGCTGTGTGAACAGGAATGTGAGAGAACATTCTGTTCAGAGAGGCATATGAACTAGACATCTGTTCAAAGTTCTCAAACGATGTATTTCACTGAATATAAACTGTAGAGAAGAAATAAAA